TTGTCACCCCCTTATCACCCCCTGTCACCCACCCGTCACCCCCTGTCACTCGGGGTCACTGCAGGCCAGGGCTGGCACATCACAGAACCCACCAGGTAGTGCAGAACGGCACAGGACACCCCAAAACCCCCAGAAATGCCCCAAAAAGGCATTTCTGCCCATCTCCTGACGAGGAGGATCCCCCAGATTGTCCCAGATTGGCCTTGGGGTGGCACTTGCCAGGGGCAGTGCCCGGGGCAGGGTCTGTGTCCCTGTCCCTCTGCAGGTGGGGTCTGCAGCGGCTCTCCCTGCTCTGGCTGCCCTTTTTCATCCTTTTGGAATCCCAAATTTGCAGCTCTGAGCCCTTTTCCATCCCTTTTTCGTCCCAAATTTGCTGCTCCGAGCCCTTTTTCATCCCTTTTTCATCCCAAATTTGCTGCTCTGATCCCTTTTTCATCCCAAATTTGCAGCTCCGAGCCCTTTTTCATCCTTTTGGAATCCCAAATTTGCTGCTCTGATCCCTTTTTCATCCCAAATCTGCTGCTCCGAGCCCTTTTTCATCCCTTTTTCATCCCAAATCTGCTGCTCCAAGCCCTTTTTCATCCCAAATTTGCTGCTCCGAGCCCTTTTTTATCCTTTTTTTCATCCAAAATTTGCTGCTCTGAGCCCTTTTCCATCCCTTTTTCGTCCCAAATTTGCTGCTCTGAGCCCTTTTTCATCCCAAATTTGCAGCTCCGAGCCCTTTTCCATCCGTTTTTCATCCCAAATTTGCTGCTCCGAGCCCTTTTTCATCCCTTTTTCATCCCAAATTTGCTGCTCCAAGCCCTTTTTTATCCTTTTGGAATCCCAAATTTGCTGCTCCGAGCCCTTTTTCATCCTTTTTTCGTCCCAAATTTGCTGCTCTGATCCCTTTTTCATCCCAAATCTGCTGCTCCGCAGCAAAGGCCGTGTCAGGCAAGGCCAGGCTCTCTCCATGACATCATGGAGCTCCATTGCTCATTCTCTGCAATTCCCACCGAGCTGGCTCGGCTTGGGAGTTACAAAAAAAAAAGAAAAAGGCTCTTTTTTATCTCCTTTTCTTCCCATAATTTTTTTTTAATGCTGCCTGCTCCATTTTAACACGCGCTGGTTCCTCCTGCCCTCCCTGCAGCTGCAGCTCCAGGCTTTGGGAGGACGCTGGAGTCCTCTAGCGTTCCTTGGAAAAACGGGAGGACAGGCTGAGAGCTTGGAAACCGCAAAAACCGCGGGAGAAAAAGGGGGAAAAAACCCTAAAAAAGGGAAATTGGGCGTCCCTGGGGGCTGTGCCCTGAGCCGTGTGGGGGTCTCGGAATCCTGCCCTGCCCGGGGGCACGGGGGCTGCTGGAGGGGCAGCACAGCCCCGTCCCCGTCCCCTCTGCCCCTTTTTGTGTCCTGAACAAAGGCCGGGAGCTGCTGCTGCTCCGGCGCTTCCCGGGGATCCCGGGAATGGGATCCCGGGAATGGGATCCCGGGAATGGGATCCCGGGAATGGGATCCCGGGAATGGGAGATCGCTCTGCTCCCCCCTGCCCAGCCCGGGGAGGGGCGAGACCCCACGCCTGCTTTCTCCCCAGGGTTTCCTGTGGCACAAATACCCAGAAATACACAGAAATGTCCTAGAAATACCCCAGAAATATCCAGAAATACCCCAGAAATGTCCTAGAAATATCCCAGAAATACCCAGAAATACCCAGAAATACCCCAGAAATATCCAGCAATGCCCCAGCAATGCCCCAGCAATACCCAGAAATACCCCAGCAATACCCAGAAATGTCCCAGAAATACCCCAGAAATACCTCAGAAATACCTCAGAAATACCCAGCAATACCCAGCAATACCCCAGAAATACCTCAGAAATACCCAGAAATATCCCAGAAATACCCCAGAAATACCCAGCAATACCCAGCAATACCCCAGAAATACCTCAGAAATACCCAGAAATATCCTAGAAATATCCCAGAAATACCCAGCAATACCCCAGAAATACCCAGAAATATCCTGAAATATCCCAGAAATATCCAGAAATATCCCAGAAATACCCCAGGCCCGCTCTCAGCTCTGCTGTGCCCCGGGCCA